GGCCCTTCGGAAGGCCAGGAGTGAGGGGGCCAATCGCACCTCCGGGGGCAGAATGTTCCAAAGAGCAGGGGGATGGAAATTGGATGCAACTGTAGGATATTGCGAACGGGAATTCCTGCTAATCACCAGTTTATTGTCACTTTGGGTTGCCACAGAGTCGTTGTTGGCTTTGTTGAAGCAGCCACTCCTTTGCCAGTTCAGTGCTATCATTCATTTTCATTTCAGAGGCAAGACCCAGTGTAATTTTTACACAGAAATAGTAAAGCATGCTTAAAACCAGCTGCATCTCTTTTGCCAGAAAGCTGCAACCTGGTCCCCTCCAAATATTTTGGACAAAAACTCCCAGAGTTTTCTGAGCTCTTGGTCATCCTACATGCTTTGGTCAACACTAAAATCCACATCCCTTAGTGGCAATACGCTGTCTTTTTCTCTGCTATGTAATGATTTTTAAAGCAGTGATGAGTCATAGTTTAATCAGGTGTTGGGTTTTTACTATTTTTGTTGCTTTAATATGGAAAAAGGAAAAAGAAGGCAAAAAGTGGGAATAAAGGGGGGGAAACACAAAACAATAATAAAAACATAGCACACATAAGAAATAATTCAGCCTAGTTTTTGAAAACTTCATAAAACCTTGACCAGATAATACTGATTATTGTTTCCATTAAGATAGCTAGCTCATAAATGGAAAACCATAATATATCAGCGATCCAAGTATATCTGGGATCACACTGGCTTTCAGATCTTTTATTTGCTGAACACCATGCTTAATAACTTCACAATTCTTCACATGGTGACCTCCAGTTTTTTAAAACTATATTGATGTTTGTAACATTGTACAAGGAGTCCTCACTTAATGACCATTCACTTAGTGGCTGTTCGAAATTATGATGGTGCTGAAAAAAGTGACTTACAACCGGTCCTCGCACTTACGACCATTGCAGCATCCCCTGCGGTCATGTGATCAAAATTTGGGCATTTGTATTTATGACAGTTGCAGCGTCCCGGGGTCATGTGATCACCATTTGCAACCTTCCCAGCCAGCTTCTGGCAAGCAAAATCAGTGGGGAACCGCATGATTCGCTTAATGACCTCCACAAAAAAGTCATGAAATCAGGTGCAGTTGTGATGCCTCACTTAATGACCACCTCACTTAATGACAAATTTTCTGGTCCCTATTGTGGTTGTTAAGCAAGGACTACTTGTATTAACAAAGTCTGGATATCAAACTGAATAAGGAATTTCATACAACAAGGCTGTTGGTAAATATCCTTCTCTAAGACTGAGGCGGGAAGAAATTTGGTCACTCAGAAATGTTCTCCAAACTGGGTTGAACAACAAAGAGGGAGGGGGAAAGTACTGGGATGGATGGTGGGTTAGTTCATATTAATGGATGAGTTTATGTCAGCATGTATATGCCCCGCTTACCATCCCAAAATTCAAGGGCACTTTACAGAACTTTAGAAATGCCCATAGCCGTTTTGACAATTGAGTCATCAGTCCCCAGCAAGGGCCGTCTTTAATAGCAGAAGAAAGATCA